TGCCTTACTAGTAGTAACAAGTGCCTTACTAGTAGTAACAAGTGCCTGACTAGTAGTAACAAGTGCCTGACTAGTAGTAACAATGGTCAACTTTTTTCCCACAAAGTTTCCGTCTTACGCGATCGCACAGAGGTGCACTCGCTGAAGGAACTTTTTCAGGCAGACTGTTCCTGTGTTCGCTTGGCTCTGACCGCACACTCGCAATGCCTGGCAGTGCCTGGGCCATTCGTTGCAACTTAGAAACCACGAAACCTTTCGGTCATGCGGCAAATGCATATAGGCAATGCATAGGCAGCATGTGCATTGTTCACTTCATTCCAGCGGCATTCGCCGCAATGGCTTCGCGCCATGGGGTGCCATGTGGTGCCGAGGTCGCTCAGGTGGGAGCGAAGAACTACTAGGAGCGATCGAACGCTACTAGGAGCAACGGGCATCGCTAGGAACAAGGACGCTACTAGGAGCTATTTTCTCCTAGTAGTATGGCCAGGAGCCCCTAGTGGGCGGAGCCTCGGCCGTGCACGCGAAATTTGCTCGCCTGTACACGCTTGGATTTGCTCGGTTGTGCACGCGCTTTCTCGGTTGTGCACGCCGCTTTGCCCTGCTGTATGAATGAATAAATGCTTGATTGATTGGTTGAATGAAATGAAATGAAATGATGAATGTTGAAAGAGTGAAAGAATGAAATAATGCAATGATGAATGAATGAATGGAATGAAATGAAATGAAATGAAATGAAATGAAAGGAAAGTAAAGGAGAGGAAAGGAAAGGAATGAATGAATGAATGAACGAATGAATGAATGATTGATTGAATGAATGAATGGACGCATTATCTAACAGAGTTGGGCGAACATTTCATGTCCTTCAATGGAAGTACCTGTGGAAGCAATCAGCAAGAAGAGATCATCATGTAGATGAATGTCCAGAGGGACGTTATTAACACGAGCATGTGTGTGGAGACCTGACCCAACGACACATCATGAAGGAATGACATATCGTGTACGCATCACATCAAATCAATTTGTGTGTGCGCAGGTGAGCGAAATCTGTGTGCACAGGTGAGTTTGAGGTATCACGCACAGTTTGAACAAGGATGTGATCGATGCGTGCGCAGGTGAGTGAATCCTGTGTGCGCAGGTGAGTTACTTGTATCAAGAAATGCTGCGTGTACAGCTGAGCGAATCTTGCCTGCGCAAGTGAGGCGCCGTCCCCCCTAGTAGCGTCCTTGTTCCTAATTCCTGTCCATCCCGTGTTTGGAGTTTCAGATTAATTTGTGGGTGCCTGTTTTTCTGTCCACAGTCGCCACCACAGAACTTGGAACCGCTAAACAAACTATTCGACGTTGGCAGTAAGGCTTATATTCTGGATTTACAAGAGGTAGGCTTTTAGAATAGAAAGAAAGGTCTGAAGGTTTAATGAAAAGGAAACAACATTTGCCTGTTCTTGTAGCAAGAAGGCGATGCCAGGTGGGTCATGTTTCGGCCTGCTCGCCGCCAGCAGCACTGCGCAGCTTGGTGTGAGGACAAGGATGGAAGGGCAGAATTTGAAGCGAACAGTGCAGTAAGTCTAAGAAAACTGAAAACTAAGAGCGATGGCCTCCAAGCTAATAGCGATTACCTGCAACCTAATAAGTCTATCAAGTCCAAGACATGCTTTGAAATACATTCTTGCTGCTGAAAGGAAGGGTGTTGGTAAGATGACAAATTTTGGGTGCGTCCTTCGACGTTTTTTTGCAATGTATTCAGCTCATTCATTTGGCAGCTCCTGTGCTTTCACTGGTAACACAAATGCGTAAAGAAACCAAACTGTTTTTACAAACTCAGTCTTGTATGTGCTCAGGTACCTTGTGGGCCTGTGGCAGGGCGCCATGCTTTGTGGGAAGTTTGGGAAGATTCTTGGATGCAATGAATGAAGGACAAGAAACTAAGAAAAAACATGGAAAGGTCTATACAAAGAATCATTTGTTTCATTAGAATATTAGAACATGATTTCATGTTGTTTCTTTAGAAATGAACTAGGGGTGAGGGGCAGTTGAGTTCAAGACCGACATGCAGAGCAAGGAGTGCCCATCACTAGGAGCTGTGAAACAAGCGACTCAGGCCAGAAAGCCTTGGAGGCGCCTTTTGGAACCCGCTGATTGGAACACGGTCGAACACTTGGTTTGAGGTGTTTTCATTGCTACCTTCATCTACCTTCCATTCGTTAACTGTGATTTCAACACACTTGACTCAAGTGACTGGAGCGAGTAAGCGAGCAGCTTATGAAAAAGGGACTTGAAGCCAAAAAAAGGAGACACGAACAGAACCTAATGAAGCACAAGGCAGTAGGTTGGAGGCCGTCGCTATTTAGGAGCAAGAAGCTACTAGGGGCTCCTAGTAACAAAGACGCTACTATTTGCTCCGTTCGTAGCGATGCCCTTTGTTCCGTTCGTAGCGTCCTTGCCATCGCAAGTAGGTTGGTTGGGCGGGACGTCTCGCCACGCAGGTTCCGCCGAGCCGATGGACGGTGACGATGCCCCGAAGAGCTTCGACAGCGTCTCACCGACACAGGTAGCGTAGCGTATGCTTTGGAGCTTCGCGTGCTCATGGGGTTTGGAGACTTTTGACTTGGGAGCCTTGAAGAAGGGCTGGCCATCGCTATTCATTTGGTTCCTAGACTTTTAGGGAAACTTGAGGCTGGAGGCCATACCTATTAGTAAGAAGGGCATCGCTACTAGTAGCTAGGGCATTGCTACTAGTAGCATGAAGCTGCTAGGTTGGAGGCCATGGCTATAAGGTTTGGGTTCGGTTTTGCACGTTTTGCACATGTTTGCACCGCTCTGGGAGCTGAAAAGAGTTTCCTGAGCTCTAAACGACAATCGGTCTTGCAGTTTTTGTCTTTTTCAGGTCTACAATGGTCTACAGCCCATCCAGTTAATTGGATTATACGAACCGAACACACATTTCTCCAGTCGAACCAAGAGCTAGCTTGCTGCATCAAGAGCTAGCTACATCGTTTGAGGCCTTTCAGGTGGAGCAGAAAGTTTGGACTGTCATGACATTCGACACTGCACAGGAGGAGGTAAGCTTAGACGAGGTGTCAAGCGGAGAGCACAAAGAGGCTCTTCCTCTTCCAACGAGCAATGAAGGACAAGCTGCTTGTGAAGTATACGCGATCCTAACGCGGTGTGTCACAACTATGTGTTTGAAAACTATGTCACAACTATGTTGAAGGAAGCTACTAGGTTGGAGGCCATCGCTATTAGGTTGGAGGCCATTAATTAATACCAGAACAAGAAGCTACTAGTAACAAGATAGTTTCTGAAAGAATAGGTTCAGTTTGGATTTCTATTCAATTTGACAAGAAAAGACCAGACATCTATTATGTTTTTTGTTTCAGTTTGACTGGATATTTTTGGGAGCCAGGGTGGAAGCTTTGGAAGTTCAGGCCTTTCGGGGAGAAAGAGAAAGCTCGGCTTCTTCGCTCGAAACGAAAGAAGCGGTTCCTGGATGAAATGGAGTGAGAAGGCTTAGAACTTAGAAGGTACATGAGAGGCTCTTGGGGCTATGGGAGGACTACGCAGTTTTGGGCGCCCGTTCTTGAGTGCCCAGGAGACGCGGAGGAAAGAGTGGAGAAAGGCTGCCGGCAGTGGAGGCCTCAAGTGGAGAAGAGGGATCGGAACTGGCTGTGACAGAGGTCCTAAGGACAAGCGCTACTTCTTGCTGCAATGCTGTCGATTTCTGTTGCTGGCACTGGCTGCCTGTGGCCGACCTTGTTGTCTCCTGTCGATTTCTAAAACTAGATTTGTCTCCATGGCCATTTGTTGGAAAGTGCGAACGCTGCCTAGTAATCACTGGTCCATTTTCTTGTTCAATGAGGTTTGAGACTGTGGCCTTTCCATTGGACGCCACTTGGCTTCTTTTGGAGGCTGTGACAGCTGCTAGTCCTATTGTTTCCTGTTCTGAGGGTTGGCCCACTGCAGTGCGCGCAGAGAGTGGGCAGAGCTTGTACGGTCTGCCGCTCAGTTGTTGGCAAATAGAACTCGCATTGATATAAAAATATAAGAAGCTATTGGGTGGAAATCATCTCTATAAGGTGGAGGCCATTCCTATTAGGTTTCAGGCCATCGCTCTTAGGGGGTATTCTGAAAGTCGCGATTGTACTACTGTCGGATATTCTCGAAGGATTCCTTTGCAACATTTTGATGTCCTGTTTCATGTCCTCGACTGTCCCAAACTCTTTCAGGTACTGGTTGGGCGCAGCAGCTGCTAAGGAGCCGAAACTATGAGCTCAATGTACCTCGTAATAGCAGCTGCGATGCCTCCAACCTAGTGATCCCCCTCCAACCTACTAGCAGTTGCCTCCAACCTACTAGCGATGGTCTCCAACCTGCTAACGATGGCCTCCAACCTAGTAGCGATGGCATCTAGTAGCTGTGGCCTCCAACCTACTAGCGATGGTCTCCAACCTGCTAACGATGGCCTCCAACCTAGTAGCGATGGCATCTAGTAGCTGTGGCCTCCAACCTAATAGCGATGGCCTCCAACCCAGCAGCGACGAGTCTGAGAGGGAAAAAGGCAAATTGTTGATGTTTGGGCCCCAAGACTTGTCCTTAGTCCAAACAAAGGCACGTGCCGCATGATATTGCTTAGATCCTCGCAGGGTTTCCGCTGCTCATGGCCCAGGAGCCATCAGTTCCCTGAGAATTGCAGCGGAAGGAACTTTGTGGAGCATGGCATGCCGGGCAGCCAAGACGGAGCCGGTACAGGACTTCCGTTTGACAAACTCTTTCCTTTCTTTCTTTGGACCTGTAGACTGTAGGCCTGATCCTTTTTCCTTTTCTCATTTTTGCTTTTCCCTCACAAGGAACGTTTGCAGAACGTTTGTTTTTGGAATGTAAAGCCTAGTAGTGACTGGGTAGCCGAGCGCAGGTTTCAGCAAACCACACGTGAACTGCCTAATTGCCGCAGGTTTCAATCTGGCATGGGATCCAACATGCACATTGGAGCGGTCCAGAGCTCAGAGTTGATCTCAAAATTCACTGGCAGCGTTTTCTTCAAAGGTACTTGTTTCAAGCGTTGAATTAAACTCTCACTTTGGGGTCTTGACTCTTTTTCAGGGGTTTGACTGAGGCTGTCCTTGCCTTTGCTTTGAACGAGAATAGCATCTATCTTTGGCCAGAGGACCGTACTGCATGTGGCACAGTTTGACACACGATAGTATTGTACGATGTTCATTTGGCCGGAATGTCAATCGATTACTTGTTACTAGTAGCGATGCACTTGTTTCTAGTAGCTTCTTGTTACTACTAGTAAGGCACTTGTTCCTAGTAGTAAGGCACTTGTTTCTACTAGCTTAATGTCAATCGATTAAGTAGGTTGGAGGCCATCGCTATTAGGTCGGAACAACAGAGCAGTCAGTGTTGGGGCCTTGCAGCGACGGGTAGAGTGGGATGTACGGCAGACTGCGCCTTATGACACAAGCTCCACGTGCTTGAAGGGAAGGACGGGAACTTGGTCCATTCCACTTAATATGACTGAACAAACGATGTACTCAGCACATTTGTGTAAGTACCCGGAAAGCTGCGCTTAGAGAATGTTTCCCAGTATCAGCAGAGCGGCAGAAAGGTGGGAATTGTCTGCGCATTGTGATCTTTTCTGTGGCGACAACGGGGGTGATTGCTGCTTTTAGGCTTCGAAGTTTCTACTTAGAGCTGAGGCTTCAACAGGCTTCAGCTTTCCTTCGTTCTATTTGTCAGTCTATGTTTTTCAAAACGCTGAGAGGACGATGTATACAATCCGTGGACGGTGGGCTCCACCAGCCACTCCGTGGCAGATTGCCCGAACGGCAGAGCCCTTCGGAACTACGAGCACCTTGGAAGGGAAGTTGCTTGTGGTAACAAGTGGCTCGCTAGTAGTAACAAGTGCCTTACTACTAGTAACAAAAAGCTATTAGTTAATTTAAGTTTAATTTAATTTTTGACTAATAGCTTCTTGTTACTACTAGTAAGGCACTTGTTACTAGTAGCGATGCACTTGTTTCTAATAGCTTCTTGTTTCCACTCTATATTCCCCAAGTCACAAGTCATGTCTTTAAGACTCGCTCCTCCCCCTAAGAGCAATGGCCTCCAACCTAGAAGCGACTTGGGAACCAAGTTGCCGTTGAAAGCTATAAGGGTTCTTAAGGGGTTCTTACTTCTCAATGACTTGGTGGTTGTTGGCGTTGTGTCTACCGCTGCTGCCTGGTATCCTTACTTGTCCCATTTGTCCCCTCACCTCCCCCAGGTTAGTAGCTAGAAGCTACTGGGTTCCATTACTTGTCTCCCCATTTCTCCCGATAAGATGACGTTTGGGGTCGATGCATACATGCAGCTGTGGACCTTTCAACGGTCTCCAATGAGCGCCAGCACCCATGAACTATTTATGTACAAATGCAAACCGATTCAGCAGGGACTTAATGTGTTTGTTTTAACACTGCGCTTAAAGATGCTTTTTTGCAATTGTTTGCTTGAGATGGGCGCAGCAGTTTATCCTACTTGACGCCGTTTAGACTAAAAGCTTAGCTGGGAATCTCAAGATGGGTCTCCCAACGACTTGAAACCTGACGGCTCCAGTCTTCGATTTTTCAATCTCAGGTGCTACTTGAAACCAGTGAGTTCCTGCAAAGCTAATGGAGGCGGTTCCAGGCCAGGAGATCCACAGTTTGAGTTATGAGTTATGAGGACATCGCTTCACAAGATCTGCGGATTGAACAATGATTTTGTGTTTCAACATTTTTGTTTGTGATGAATCGTCCATACGCGTTTGTCCGGACAGCTGACACAACAAAACGGATGACAATCAACAACACTAGTTACTACTTGTTTTCTACTAGCTTCTTGTTACTACTAGTAAGGCACTTGTTACTACAAGCGATGCACCTGTTCCTAATAGCTTATTGTTTCCTAGGAATTAACCAACAGGGGGAAGCGGAAAGTAGGTCCAGACAACTTGCGTTGGTCCGCCCCCCCCGGCCACAGCCTTAGCCCACCTAGTTCTGCGCACAAAAGCGGCCGCAAAACCGGGGAAGGAGGGCAGAGGGCAGCTACGACACCAAAAGAACCTGTGCAAGCCACGGTCGAAGGCGTCCCCCCCCATCTAGACGGCAGTCTGAAAGGGCGGCATGGCAAGGGTGAAGGCTCCACCCCGTGTCTCAGGCGCCGCCCAGCTTAAAGGTCGGCTGATTTGACAAAACACGGAGTCTCAGTCTCAGCGTCCAGGCTGGTCCAGGTGTACTGCATCTTTTATCCCAAACTGTTCCCGGACAGGTATGTGGGGATGAAGAGGGAGCGTGGAAAGAAGAAGATCCCCGGCCGCTTAGTGTGTTCAGTGCAAGACAAACTTTTTGCTCAAGACATAATTTTGCTGCTCTCAATGAAACAATGCAGACTGAGGCACAGACTTGGTTCCGAGAGTCTTCAAGACGCTTCTCAAATGTTCTGGGCCCTTTGGCTGGAGCAAGTTGGGTGGTGTGCTTGTCAACGATCAGAAGTGCGTTTTCTCCTTCGACCTTCAAGGAAAGATGTTCCTGGATTCACAAATCATATGTTTGATCATCAGCGGCATTTATACATATTCCGTTGACATCAACATGATTGAACCGCCAAACTTGGAGGTATCCTTCAAACTATTGGCCAAAGTGGTGGAGAGCTCAAGCAACGGCCTTTTTTTTACGGCCCAATCAGGACACGTCAAGTCGAAGGCGGCACCGGAAACGGAGACAGAACCCTGAAACCGATGGCGAGAGCGCAAGCGGCCCTGTCACATCCGATTTCGTACACATTTTCACCACTTTCATGACATGGTAATTTTTTTTCATCGATTTGACAACATCAGCATTAGTTTCACGACGTCATCGGCAATTTCACTGTGATTGAAGTGTCGTCTTTCAAGGATCGCCTGTTCACAAACCCAGATGAAGCATGAACATGCGGCTGTAAAGTTGAGAAAAAGACATTTTCGAGGTCGCAAACACGTCGAGTATGTGGAATGGTAGGTGCACTAGATGTACCACATGAAGCCACAACAAATGCCCTGGAAGAATCAAATCAAATGTTGGCACGCGAGCATCACACGGATGAGCACCCGAAAAGGCATGTTGGCAGTCTCAAACAATTTGTATGAACCCAATGCAATGGCCTCCAACCCAATAGCGATGTCCTCCAACCTAATGAAATACCGATGGCCTCCACCCCAATAGCAATATTTCCTTTTGGCCTCATGCCGAAATGGTTTGTTGATCTTTGTCGAACAATTTCTTTGCGATATGAAGGAGACTGCGCTGGAGCTCCAGAGATTTCGCGAGAGCCACTTGGTCAATCAGATGCAGGCAGGATTTGGAAAACCTGGACATTGTAGCAATTTGTAGCACTCATGCATGATGTTCGAGTTCATTCGCTCGATATCTCATCTCATTCTAGTTCACTGCCTGTGTGTCCCTTTTGACAACCTGTTTTCTGAAGATTCTTTCTGAAACCAAACGCCAACATTTTGTGGTCTGAGACTTGGAACTGATGTCTCCAAACGCGTCGCATGTCCATTGAGATGGGCGGCTTCAACAGGATGGGGTGCTGGGATGCTATGTCCGCCACGGCGACAAGTACTACGAGGCATCATGCAAGCGATGGCTTCCAACCTACTAGCGATGGCTTCCAACCTACTAGCGA